AATTAAAAATAATGATTAATGATCAGACTGTGGGAAGACCTTAAGCAGGTGGAAAGCCCTGACTGGTAAGCACTGATGGGGAAAGAGAAGTGCTCTGCACATGTATTAACATGCATTGTGATGGGACGGGGAAAAAAAAAGATTCTTGGGCAGGGTGAATAGAAATCAAAGCTAGGCATTTTTTGCCCCCAGCCTGAAGAAGTGATTCTGTGGCCACTGTCTGTACATACAGTCACTTCTCAACACACCTTGTTACTATTCACTGGGTTGGAAGGCACTGTCTTTTCACAGTGGACTCTTGCATGAATGCCTTGGAATTTCCTATCAGACAGCTATGCTCTTTGGTCCATCAGCGCTGGCTGGCAGGCTCCGATGGGAGCTGCAACAGACAGGCACCATCAAAGATTTTACTGATGAGGGAGAGCTGGTGTCATCAGCTCCCAAGTGCACAAGGAGCCTGGGTGTTGTTCTGCTCCAGGATGACAACCAGCTGGTCATTCAGAACTGAAGGGAGCTCAAGGACATTAATGTGGATGAGGCCAATGGGCAGGAAAGTGACAGTCATAAATGGTCGGTGGGGGGGTGGGGAGTGAAGAAAAAGCCTTCATAAAGCAGATATAACTAGCGCTCCTGCTTCTAAGACCCCAGATTTCATGACCCTAACACATTGTCCCAGCCTACTTGGGAGTTGTACTACAGGGTCTCCCCATATCTCCTTCCATCATGTCCCATCCCCAGCCACAGATCCTTACCCTTATGAGTAGAGCTGGTCAGGCCTTTTTCAGTGAGATGCTTGTCCACTGGAAAATTCTATTTGTCAAAATCAAAACTTTGTTTTGCAAAAATGTCTCAGTTTCAACAAAAATCTCATCAGGATGGTTTCTCAGGAGCAGGACAGAATTTTCTGGTCAAAATGAGACAGAGACAGAATTGCCACTAGCCCAGTGATTAGAGTGTTCGTTTGAGGTTTCAGCATCAGTTTTCATTCCACATAGGAACAAAAATGAAACCTTTTGATTCTTTTGGGTGGGGGAGAGGAAGGGGTGAGTGAGAGACCCCAGAATATCCCAGTAGTTGGGGCATTCATCTGGCATGTGAGAGACCCACCTTCAAGCCCCTGCTCTGCCTGATTCAAAGTAGGGACTCAAAGCTGTATCTCTTAGGTGCCCTACTTATTCAGCTACAGCATCAGGGTATGTCTACACTACAATAAAACACCTGCAGCTGGCCCGGCTAAGCTGACTCAGGCGGGGGCTGTGGAGCAATCAAATTACAGTGCAGACATTTGGGCCCAGGCTTTGAGACCCCACAAAGAGGGAGGATCCCGGAGCAATTGTATAGCTCCGTGAGCCCAAATCAGTTGACCCAGATCAGTCCCAGGTGTTTTATTGCAGTGTAGACATACCCACAGTCTCTCTCTCCCTGGCACAGTGATTATTTAATTATTTTCACAACATGGAACAGCGCCAACAGGAGAGGTTGACTCTATGGCCTGATGAGAGAGAGCCTTCCCGAATCATGACTGAATCATCAAGTGAACATGCACAAAAGTTTAAAAAAAAAAAAAGGAGGAAATTGTATGCCTTTTCCTCCATATTAGGGCAATTGTGGTTTAGTTTTAATTATTACTATTAATACTTTTTAGACTACTGATAAATGCACTGCAACTTACTTTGTAAAAGTAGCGACTAAATCTTGATTGAAATGTGGGATGCGACTGTCATGTTTGGGATAAGGAAATCATTGGGTGTTTACATTACTAAGACAAAATTAAGGAGGTTCTATTATAGCAAGCATTTGCATTAAAAGCTGCCTCATCTTATGGCCCTTACATTCCCACTCTCTGTTCCTTTGAAGCCTTCTACAGCTTCCTCCTTTTTAACAGGCCTGATCATTAAAGCAGAGGCCTAAAAATCAGGAGACCTGGGCCTATGCTTGACTCCATCCAAACTGCGGCATGAGTTTGGGTTAAGTTACTTAACTTTACTATGGTGCCACTTCCGCATCTGCAAAACAGAGATAATAATACTTACCAACTCTCCCCCGGCACTTTAAGATCCTTGACTGAAAGATGCTTCATAAAAGCAAACCATTATTAATCATTATTATTATTTATTAACAGGCAGCTTGCTATAACTCACCAACAGCTCCCCAAAATATCTCTTGTAACTGGGAATTTGTGCGAGTGGCTTTTTCAGGTGTCTTAGGTTTTTAATGTATGTTCTGCAAAATCCATATATACTTGTAAGGGATTGGACCAGAGGAGCAGAAGCTAGTGGGTTGTGTGTGTAGTCAGGAAGGATTTTAAAAAAAACAACCACATCCATCCACAACAGGATTCTCAGAACAGTACTGTAAATAAGCACTGCCCTCTACTGTTTGTAGCATGTCTTAGGTTTCACCTTCAAGATTTTAATTAGAGCACATTTTAAAAAATGAAGACAAAGTTCCCACCTCAGATGGTTATGCTGACATTTTAATTTTAAAAACATACAATTGTTTTATAGTCTTGTTTGGAGAGGGGGATTTTGGTTAATTAGGGGCAGTGCATGATCCAACAGGTTTCTTCTTTAAAATGAGTGGTAGCACATTCTGTTTTCTCAAATGGAAAATGTGGCAGGGGAGATACAAGTTTTCAAGCCCCTGTGCTGTTCAAGACCCACCTTAAAATCATTCCCTGACCACAGGACAAAGAAAGATAGAGCAAGTGTTCAAACTTCAGGGATGCTGTGGAAGCTAAAGATCATTCTCTTCTGCAACAACATAGCTGAAGTAAACAATTCAAACCTCTTTGTGCAAGTCCTCCTCCCTTTAGGGCTCCCATCATGTGTTTATTTTCCAATACATTTTGTTGAAAATGAGAAGGCGGCACAAAACAGATGAGGATGCTTCAGAAAAGTGAAAAATATGTGACGATACCAACAGATATTAAAAGAAAGAGAAACTATTAGTTTCAAAATCGTGGCAATCCAAAGAAGGAGTAGCAGCATTACAAAGTGAACTGCCTGTGTATGAAGCTACACAATTACACGGCCGCCAAGGTTTAACGTTCCAAAATCTCTCATGCTGACCCAGTAGGTAGCAGTCCAGAATCTCCAGACAAAACAGTTTTGAAATGTAAGTTCTACCCCAATCACTGAAGTATGCGAGCCACTCACAGATATTAATGGGCCTGTCTCTTAGTTACATTACACCTTTTGCACCACTCTGGCAGTGTCAACTGCCCCTAAAATGAATGTAAATGTAATTTCCATCCACTTTAGGGCCCCAGAGCAGTCCACAGGGGGCTTAGCGTAAACTATAATTATGTCCCAATGAATTTATCCTCACAACACCCCCTATGATGCAGGAAAATGTTATTATTCCCATTTTACAGATGGAGGCACAGAGTGGTTATGGCCTGGATCTTACAAATCCTTACCTAACTTTACACACATAAGTAGTCTCATCGAAGCAGGTGCTTTAGTGTTTGCAGGATCAGGGCCATAATCAAGGTGTAGGTACAGCTTCCAGCACAATGTGGCCCAAATCAGGATGGGGACCCTGGGGTGCTACCACAATATAAATATTCAGTGCTGCTAATCAATTTGTATCATTATTTGGGTAATTATTTGTGCTTCTCTAAATTTTTCAATAGCTTTTTGAATTTTTATACAGAAATATACGGTACTGGGATCTAGAGCTGCAGCAGGTCTGCTAGCTCCTAATTGGTCTCCAGGGTGCTGCAGGGGCTAAGAGTGAATCTCCAAGAAATCCTCCAGCACACAACGTTAAGCATCCCTCACTACATCCCTCTCTGCAGAGAAACTCCAAGCCTTCTGTTCAGCCACCACTTTGAGTGGGGGATTTCAGAGAGGGGCGGGGAAGAGGGGAGAAAGGAGGGATTATTCCAGTGGATGTAAATAGGGAGTCTCCCAAAGAGCAACACAGGGGATGAGGTCTGCTCTGGCTACCTGAACAGTTACTTACTGAAAGACTAGTAGGAAACATAGCTGAACGTTCACATGGGCCCTTTACCTCACAGGGAAAGTGAAGGGAGATGAAAGGTAGACCAGCCAATCAGGGGAAAGCAGCAATAGGCACTTTCCCAGCAGGTGAAATCACTCAAGTCTTGCAAGGTGTACCACACCCTCCAGATGGGCAGCTGCAATGATCTAGAAAAAAGAGAAACAGAGCTGACCTGTCTCAGTCACAGCATAAGGCAATGGTCCCTGGAAGCTATAAATAGGGTTGGGGAGACAAACTAGCTTCTCTAGGAGGGTCTTGGATGTTAGAAGCGCTCCATAGGATGCGGATTAGGGCCTGGTCAGTTATGCTCTTGTTTGGTCAATATTCTGCTGAGTAGAATTGGAGGGAGGCATTTGGATTCTGGCTAGATCACCCCCTTTGAAATGGGACTGCTAATGAATGGGTGTCTAGCCTTAGCTTTTAATGGTCTAGTGTTGAGTAAGTACTTGAGGAAGATGATGTAGGGGGCTTAATCTATGTTTCTGATGCCCCAGGAAGGTGTCTATGGGGTGGTGGAAACATTGGTTTTCACTTCTGTGACTTCTTGCAATCTCAGTCTGGTCTTGGGGAATTCAGCTGCTATGAAGGCTCCTGTCTAAAGGGTCCCTGGCAGGACCAATACATTATTTCAACATAGGCAAAAAAATGGGGGCTCCCTTGGGGGAGGGATGGAGGAAGGGGTGGGTGGCTATGATTTATGACCAGGTAGGCATGAACTGGATGTTATCTCTTACTCTTCCTAGTTTAAAACCAACTCAACCCCACCTTCCCCCAAGAAAACCACTCCAGCATACTAACTGCCTGCTACTTCCCCAGAAGTCTAGCTCTACTATTGAGTCTTGGATGAGGTAACCCACCTCTTTTTCCCCTGCCCCAACTGGGTAAACTTGTTCCAGTGTATGGTTAGGTAAGTGACAATCACTGGTGATGGCTCCCTGCAGAGAATAATGCCTGCTACAGTTTGACATTAACTATGACTTTTGCTTTGACAGAGCCCAGGACTGAAATAGTGCTGGAGTTGCAGAGCTGCCCCACACAAGAAAGACTCTCTGCAGCTCTTCTGAGAGTGAAATCTGGTATGTAGGTTAAAGCTGCCTCCAGGTACCTTTAACTTTGCTGCTCTGCAAATCCCCTAAGTCTCACTGACTCTAGCAGTTTTATATGGATTTCTTTTACACCAGTGACCCTGTTCTCAAGCAATTGCTTCAGTGTGTTAAGCACAAACACACTTTGTTTTTAGCATGGGCATTCAGGGCCTTTTTCTCCACCACTTTGGTTTGTCCAGCGATGGCTATGGAAGGAAATTCTAGCCGTCCTGCTAATAATGTTTTGGGTTTTTTTCTGCCTCTGTGGGAGAGAGGTGCAGGTGAGCAGGCTCCATTGAGCAGCTGGGGCTGTCTGTCAGTGAGTGCCCATGAAATACTGGTCTCAGTAATGGCGATCTCAGTCTGTCACTCATGGGACATGTATTTCACAGGCAATGCCAGAGCAAGCTTCTCCACACAAACCCACCAATGTACTGCAACTCTCTTCTGGAGGGATTTTTACTAGGTAGCTAGGACTCCATGTCACCTCTGTCACTGGCCTCTCCGTGAACAAGGTACTAATAGTAAAGAATGGGCCTACAATGTGCTAGGCTCTGTACAGTAGGCTTCCAAAAGCACCCAAAGGCTAAGGGAAAGGGGTATACCATGCAGTAAAGTGGGCAAGGTAACGATTGGTCGCATCTTGATAGTAAATGTCTTTAGAATGCTATGACTCTTGTTAAATAATATCTCTCTTTATTTTAGCTTGTTAAGATATGGGTGCCTGTGCACTGTATTGAGAACAGTCCGCTTATACCATAAAAGTCCATTAATCGCCAACAGATGGTCAATACTGACTTGTCCCGAACTGAGCTAGTGACCTAGACTTGGCCTGGGTTTTCTTAGGTGCATTTATATTAAAAGAGGCTCTATCAATGACTGCTGTTTGCCAAGTATATGGAGTCTCCTACTCCTGAGTAATTCATTTTCCTTTAGTGGAATCACTCCTGATTCTCACCTGTGTGAGTGAGAGAAGATTGAGGCCCAGAGCCTCTTTGCGTCTACTTTTGCTGGCAACACAGAAGTGGTGGTAGCCTTGCAGAATGGCTCACAGATGTCAGGGGAGGAGGGGGGAGTTTGAGTTTCAGTTTGAGGAGGGGGGAGGCTTGGATAATCAAGTAATATTATTTTCTTTAATTTCAGCCTTCCTTTTGATATAGGACTAGTGAAGGCAGCAAACCACTACCACCATTAACTGTGACTTAAGGAAACCAATAGGAACATGAGCCTCAATGTTTTTGGGCTCCTTCTGTAGTGATTCTGCTGCAGTGGTGAGGTGTACTGTGAAATAGGATGGGTAGGAGTGATCAGTCACAAGCTGCCATGCTAAATGTATACACAGCATGAAAAGAGAAGCCTGCTAATTGAATATGCGACCTGTGTAACTGGAGGCTGGTTTGGTTATAAAAGGGATAACATGAGGAAACGTTTGCTTGGGTCTTGGCTACTCTGTGTAGGCTTCTGGCTTGTTGAACATTGTGTCTCTAGAAAAGCAAACCAAGGAATTACATCCTTTTTATACTTTTGTTAAAGGCTAGAGAGGTGACTGAGTGTTCGCTGTTCAGGTCAGAGACTGAAAGCTGGGGTGACTTTATCCAAGTGCATTGAATAGGCCTGGCCTTGTTTTTGCTTTTCCTGCAAACTACTTCAGCTTCCCTGTGACTTGAGAGACTGGAAGGGGGAAACTGCTGGTCTCTTCCCTCCAGACATTAGTGGGGATCGAGGGAAAGGGGCCAGGAAAAAGCAGCATCAGGGCATAGACCATCTGGAGCTCTGGTTTGGCTGCAATTCAGGAACATGCTTGGCTTTGTTGAGACCACGAGCTTTCTAGAACATGTAGCAGGATGAACTGTGGGGATTGTGAATGCAGACCAGCAGTCTGAGTGTTGCCTGACATCAGGAATACAGCTGGTCACTGAGGAATTGTCTTATATATATAAATATATAATTTTTTTTTTTCCCCTCTCAGTGCTGGGACATGGAGGACAGCTTTCCCCCAGAGGAGATCAGGTCTGGGCCAAGGCATTTTCAGCTGTCTAAGACCAGCATGCGGAGCGAGGAGAAGAGACTGAGGACTTTCCGGCAGTGGCCAGAGAGCTCACCTGTTTCTGCCACAGACCTGGCTAAGGCTGGCTTTTTCTTCTTGGGTCCTGGTGACCGAGTGCAGTGCTTCTGCTGTGGTGGTATCTTGAGGAGCTGGGAGGCTGAGGATCAACCCATGCGAGAGCACCAAAAATTTTTTCCTACCTGTAAATTCATCTGTGGTGAAGATGTTGGCAACCAGCGGATGCTCCCCTTTCTGGAGATCTTAGACTATGTGGATGGGCAGATCCTCAGCCTCCTACAGAGGATGGATGTGGAAGAGACGGCCTTACCCAGTCAACCAGAATACCCGGAGATGGAAACCGAGGCGATGCGACTAGCCACTTTCCAGAGCTGGCCACCATACACAGAGCTGTATCCTGAGCAATTGGCCAGAGCAGGGTTCTTCTATACAGGTAGGCTTGGCAGGATGAGAGCTTTATCGGTAAATGTCGATACATGTAAATTCCACTGCACATGCATAAACTGATAAATATTTCCATTGATAACAATTTACCAAGAGGCAAATAGTTGCTTGAGACTTATTAGTGTGATTTTTAAGGCTATTTTACTCTGTATTTTGACCTGTGAAGTTGACAACTTGCATTTTAACAGTTATGAAGCTTTAACAGTTTTGAATCTCAACATCTACTGTATTTAAATAATTCTGACCCTGACACGCGCCCCATGATATCCCTCTCGGTGAAAAATTAAATCAGCAGTTTTCAACTTTCTGAGCTGAGCCCCTCATTTGAGTTAAAATGTTTGGTTGGGCCCCCCTGAACCCAGGCAAAAATAGCACAATACCTGCCTTCCCCCCACTCTGGTTTACAGGGTGGGGGAAGGTGTGTGTAATGGTGTCTGGGGGTGGAGCCAGTGCTGGGTATGGAGGCTGCTGGGAGCAGAAATTGGCACGGCTGCTGTGCATGTTGACACTGATCCACAGGCTAGGTGGCCCGCTGAGGTGAGTCAGGGGCTGGAAGTGGTGCACCCTCCCTGAGCCCTGCCATGCAGGGCTGGCGTCACTGCTAGTCTTCCCCCCCTTTGTGCCCTCCTAGGAGGGCACACCCCACAGTTTGAAAACCTCTGATTTAAATTAACAACAATTAAAGCTTATAAATAAGCATATTAGCCATCAAAATTATTTAATTCTGCCAAGGCTATATACAGGTACATACAGTAGGGAAAGCCTCCCTCTGTGTGCAACTGTAGAGCTGTATGGTGTTTCCTGTTAGACAAGCTCTATTTAGGGCAGTTTTTTTATACTGCACCCATATACTGTGGTATGTAAGCAGCGGGGGTTGGTGCCAGCCACACCATGAAGCCCTCTCCAGTAGAGCCCCAACTTGACTCTCCTCTTCTAGGTGTGAGGGGCCACAGAGTTCTCCTTAACTGGACCATCCTGAACAGCAGAGAGATGGGATTCAAACACAGCTTAGCCCCTGCACAACGTTCTCACAGTACTGGGACAGAGTTAAGGTCTGTACTGCAAATGCAGCCACCGTGGGGAACCGAGTTAGAGCACACCCCTTTCTTACTAGACCTGTAAGGTTCAAACTCCATCGTTAGGTAATTTGGCTTTGGGGCTTTCCAGTTGCATTTACACTTTATTTTTATTGTAGCAGCCTCAGTTGGGATTAGGAGTCTCCTTCTTCTTCTTCTTCATAATGTGGTTCTGTGTAGGAGCCCTGGGCATGGACCCAGGACCCATTGTGCTGGGTGCAGTGTAAACATAGATCAAAAAGACTTTCTTCTCCACTGTTGGGTCAGATTTGGGACAAACCTGTGATGGGAAGTCTCTGCTCTGAGGAGCTTATCTTAAGTTTTAAGAGCAGGAGCAACAAGGGATGTGACAGACAAATGAGGATAATGGCAACAGTCGGCAAGTCTACAGTCATGTAATGTGCCCCATTTGTACCACACTCCTTAGTATAGCACTTGGCTAAATGTAAAGTCTAACATGAGTTATGACATTCAAACAGTTCAAGTGGAAGCGGAGTAGAATGTTATATGGAGGGGACAGCGTGGAGTTATTTTATATTTATTCCTTAAAAAGAGAGACCCTCACCTGTCTGTAGATGTCCCCTTTTCAGAAGCTGTTTTGGGCTCTGTGGATCCCAGCTAATTTCAAAGTCTCTCTTAGGCTCTGTCTAGCTTGCTAACTGCCTGTAATTCTGGGACATGAACAGAAATTTAATGAGTTTGGGGCTGTTCATCTGAAGAATCACTTTGAAAGAGTCTAAATTTTTAACTCTAGGTAATGCTAAAATTTTAAATCTTTATTGTCTTTGAATGCTATTCCTGTCTTGGTCTGAAAACTCCCATGCATGGGGCATCACCAATGTAAGGACTCGGGCTTTTCTGGCAGAAGTGTTTGTGCGGCGGGAGCTCAATCTGTTCATAACATTCACAAACTGTAGCCGCACATGCCTACGGAGACAGTGTCAAACTGTCACAGAACAAACCAAGGAATTTTAATCTAATCTCGCTACACATGCAAGCACTGCATTTTCATCTCTGTGCTTCCCACAACCTGTATTTAACCTATAGTTCTGTCAGGGTTGACCCAGTGAGCTGCTGTTCTGATTTATAGCACTGATAAAATCCCTCTGTAGAACTAAAATTCTTAATGTAGCACTAGACACGTTATTCCCTTCTCTAGTCTAACTACATGTGCAAAATTTCTGGCTTGCTATATATTAATTACACATGAATACTAACATAGCCTAAATGACTCTCCTTGAATTCCTTGAAGGCTTTGCAGTGTACTTCACAATAAATGGTGTGAGGAGGTACCTCTTGTTACTAGTCCTGAACTGAGCAACCAGATGTGAAATCTCCACTGTGTACTAGCTCATAGCTTTTTCTGGAATTATAGTTATGTATGCTTTAGAGCCAAACACTACTGACAAAAGAACAACCAGCTCAGGAAAACAGAATACACCAGAAGGCAGAGGTTGTAGTTGGAACCCTTTGTCAGATTTGTTTTGAAATTTATTTTCTACCTGCAGACCAGCTGTTTGAAAACATAATACTGAGACTTACTGATAATGGGGATCCATTGGGAAACAAGCCAACAACATGGCAAACCCAGAGGTCACTTGACTGGCAATGCTCTGGAATAGCCCAGTCTGTCTGATCCACATAGTTCCCTTGTTTTAGAGCATTCAAGGATGTCTGAATGCCCAGTGATTTGGAACAGCTGTACTGACTCTCTTTAAAGAGTTCAGCTTATGACTGGAAGGCCTATCCACTCCCAGAAATTCTCTTTTCAGTGGGACCCAGGTATAACTTGCTGAGTGGGAAGGTGTAACTTTATATATAGCTTTATTCAAAATCCTGCCCTGTAGCGGGCATGCTGATATTGTTAAACCCAATGAATCTCTTGCCCAGTTTCCTCCCTGGGCTGGATGGCTTGGGATCTTTATAATGAGGACTCCTATTACTAGGGGGAGTGGTGTAAACCAATTTCATGGACCCCCTAGTTGGCGGTCTTCATGGGGGGAGCAGTTTGCTGGCTGAAGAAACAGGAGGGGGCGGCTGTGTGCAGTGGGAGTGGACATATAAAATACACTTGGGATACAGGAGTCCACAAAGGGGATGTACAGAGAATCCATGAAGCTTCCATCCAAAATGTTCATTGACCCAACACTGGAATCCTAATAATTGATTGGTGCAACTTAGGCAAGCCAGCTAGAACTCAAATTTTGAACCAGTGCTCTAACTTGACTCCCTGTCTCTGAACAGGGGCAAGATGCAGAAGTAGTGAGCCAGAGTCATGGGACAGTTGTGATGTGTGGTCTGAGCCTGTTATGGTAACAATTAAACATATTGTAACTCTTCCAGCTCTCCTGGTAACAACATCAAATTGCCCGTGGGTTAGTGTAACTATCTGCTCATGTACCTGACATCAGCTCTTCTCTTAATGCTGCTTTCAGGTCAAGGTGACACTGTGAGGTGTTTTTACTGTGATGGCAGCTTGAGGAACTGGGAGCTTGGAGATGACCCCTGGAGGGAACATGCCAAATGGTTTCCAAGGTAATTCATGGAATACTAATGCTTGTTGGGGTTGAACTACAAATCATTAGTCAGTTTTATACTGAATGGACCTTGCTCCACAGTCAAACCTCATGCCCCAGGTGAGATTTAACTAGATTATTAGTATGTAGAGCTGTCAATCTCTGTTATCTGTTCAAATCCAGCCAGGTCAATTATGAACAAATAGTGCTACCAGCTGATAAGCTGACATGAAATGAAGCCGGTGGCTTTTGTCCTATTTGCACTATTAAAAACGTATCCTGGAACAGCTTGTGGTCAAAGCAGGAACTTAACTGTGTGTCAGTCTCTTGGTAGTTCCTGAGAACTACCCTGGAAGCTCCCATCCTAACTGGCTGCATTGTTTCTGTTGCAGTCTTTTCTGTCCCTCATTCAGGGGTCATGATGATCGCTGTACACTTCTATCATTGTAGCTCCTAAAGGCCATGACAAAGTGGAGAGCCGTTGGGTTAGGCATTGTACAAATCTACACAACATGAGTCTGCAAATCTAACGCTTTTTCAATCAAAACCACACACTGGAACTTAGCCTGAGCTGCAGAGTTCAGACCTCTACTTCTATAGAGTTTATGGACCGTGATCTGTGGGTCAATCTCTATTATCACTGCTTCATGGTAACTTTAATACTGCCTTTGTCTCTTCCTGGCATCAGAGCAGCCCTTGTATTCCACTTGTATTGGCCTTTACGTGTAAATGGCAGGATGTCGTACGCCTAGTCCTGGTGTGGTGGCTCTTACAGGTGGGGCCACAGAGCCATTTTCCCCATGATCCAGTCTGGCTGAAAGGCTCCATTGCAAAAGCCAATCACACAGGCCTGAAAATGAAGTCTGACCTATTCTGGGGAGATCAGGAGCTTTAAACCACCATTCTTCCTGCTTGAACAGGAAGATATTTTTACAGCAGGGAGGGCCTGTCCACTGTGGCAAGGATGACATTTGTGCTTTGTACATTGAGATATTGCTATATACTCCCTGTTTCATTAGGTAGCTTAGTACCACCCTCATGATGAATTTCAGACAAGGTCTGCTGTCCTTCACTGGATATTTGCCTTTTTCTCCACAGGTGTGAGTTTTTGCTGCAGTCAAGGGGCAGAGACTTTGTTAGCAGCGTTCAGGACTCTGACTTCAACACTCCGGTAGCTCCAGTGAGTTTTAAATGGGGTTGTAGGGGGTTTTTTGTGCCGTGGAGGGGAAAACGTTTGAGGAGACACTTCCCTTCTGTGACTGTTTTGTCTTGTGGTGTTTTCAGGGAGGCTTCTGGCAACAGGCTGAACAAGATCCCCCTGCACCCCAAGGTTTGTGTGGAAAAGCATATTGTCTTCTCTTTTTGATGAAAGAGCTGCAGGTCTATTACTCTGGCTTCTGCATATTCTAGAGTTTGCAGGTGGAATCTTTCTGAGAGGCTTGCATTTTTGTGTGAAATGGCTTCCAGAATTATTACTAAGAAACTTCCTCTGGGATCTGAAACCAAGGTGACCTCTGCTGTTGAAAGTGCCTGCCCAAAGCTTGCTTCCCACCCCCCTCCCCCCAACAATGCAGATTCAGGTTGGTGAAAACATGTAGCAAACTTGTGTTGAATTTACCAGATTGTCTTTTTGACACTATTAAATGAAAAGTTTCATTTTTTTATTCAAATGACTTTCCAATTATTTAAACTGATTACCTTTCATTTCCTACAAAATGTTTCCTCTCACCCCAAATTATTTTTATTTAAACTTTTTCAGAATGGCCAGTGAACTAAAATCAGTTAAGTCTAGTTTCTTGAGCGACTGATTCGTGCGGACCAAAGACACGTGGTCAGCATTCAGACTCTTGGGTACTCACCGCAATTCCTGTAGGCTCCTCCATGGCTAGTGATGATATTGCCTGTGTCCTCAGAACCCACAATCAAGGGAGGGGGAGGAACCACTTTTTGTTCCTTACCACTACCAGTTGGTATATGTTGTGAAGCATGCAGGTTAATATCCCTTCTATGCTTTGCTTTAAATTCTGTTTAATGGAACTTTGCGTGAAAGTTCTGCCTCTGAGCACCTCAGATGCTTAGGGTAAAATCCTCACTTCACTGAAGTTAATTGCAGTTCTCCCATTGACTTCAGCAGGGCCAGGATTTCACCCTTTATTCCAGGGCCATTTGAGTCCCTGCAGTACTAGATGGAAAAAGGAGTGAGGTACTAGATTGTAGCATTCTAATGGCCATAGACCAATATTTGTTTTAAATCTATTACTATGATGGAATATGGCATGACCTACAGTATTCATTTAAATTTCATAAATGGCCTCATGAAATGTGGAACTACATCTTGCCTATCTAACTCTCTAATATCCAATTGGCTGTTGGATAGTTAGAATATTCTACACCAAGAAAGAGAACTCAATTAGATTGGAGTCCCTAGCCATATCCTGCGACATATGGAGTTGGCTACTTTGTAGCCTGTTAAGCTCCCCCTCTTTTGTAAAGTGTCTCCTCCCTGTGCTTTACAGATTCTGAGGGGAATCGGGAATTGTCATCTCCTCCTGTGGATCAGTCTTCCATAGTGCAGGATGTCCTGCAGATGGGCTTTGACCACAGCTTGGTGATGAGCTTGGTGCAGAGTAGACACCTGCTGACTGGCACCTGCTACTTATCTGTGTCCGAACTGGTCTTGGATCTGCTTCAGGTAGATGGGGAAGAAAGCAGCAGTGCAGAAGAAAGAGGTATGACAGTTCAGCCTCTTAAACCTCACTGATCAATCTAATCCCATCCCACCACCTCCTCTGATGGTCACTGAAGTTTTTGCATTTCAGTGAAGCTATCTCTTGGGTCTACACTGTTTCTTCCTAGACTAGAATGAAATGTAATCATGCTTCCCTTAGCTTCATAGCCCTGTGGTACTGAGAAAAACGGTTCAGTTGTAGAGGGGCCTGCAGAGTCTACAGTTGTCGGAACATCTGTTAAATTAGCAGTCTCCCAGCAACCTGGCGTATAGCTGCTTTTCAATAATTCTCTCGTACCAGAGCTTTTAAAGCAAGACTTAGGTGTACACCCAGTGCTGACATTGCAGCAAATCCAGAAATGGATTCCCTTTGGGCCTGCTATTTAAACTGGATGATTCAAGAGGACCATTCCATCTCTGTCTGATTCGAGGAGCAGTTGACTGTAAAGGGTTGGGAGGGGGGCGAAATAATGTGCTAATAACATGACTTTTTTATGGCTTAAACTATGAGGACACAGGCAATTGTTAAAGGAAGACTTCTAGGGTTAGTACCCCCACCCTATAACTGCAGTCCTACATCGAAAAGGACAAATGCTGCTCTACATCCCTCCTTTCTGTCTCTAATATGCTACAACGCTGGCTGCAATCTTTCTGACCAAAAATAGCCCTTTATTATAAAATGGAAATTTTTCTGTTTAGAAAAAGCCCAAAATCAGAATTTTGTGTGCACTTGTTTTGGGGGATGGGACTCATGTGAGTTGGATTATCTAATTTATGGTTCATCACAAGTCTTGGTGTTGCTATGAGAATCCGAGAAGCCAGCTTTGCTGTCCGATTCCAGGCTGAGCATGCAGGGTTAGCAGCCTCCTAAAGAGAACCATTTTCATTTAGCAACACTGCACACTTGAACTGAAATACCAGCAAGGACCCTACTTTGTTTTTTTTTAAAGCCCTTTTTAGCATGGGAGGATTAATGCCATCTTCCTTCATTCCTTTGGATTTCTACAGAGCGTGCGGAGAGGGAGACAGGTGTGCCAGGACAAAGACGAGACGCACAGGCCGAGTGCTCAAAAGAATCAGGTGAGGTAACAAAATCTGCCTGGGCTGGACCACAACAGTCTCTACAGCAGGAAATACTAAGGCTTGTTACCTCCCATGTAAGAGTTAAACTGCAAAATAGTTTCCTCTTATTATTCAGAATGTGGTAGCACCTCCAGACCCCATTCAGGGAATAGGGCCTATTGTGTTAGGCAAGATTAAAACACCCAAAAGAGTGCTTACCATGGATTACCCATACATCACCGTTCACTAATTTTATCCTCTCTTCCCCACTGTTCAAATCTCAAACCCACCATGTGGACAGACCTCTGAGCGGCCCAGGACTGGAATAGCAGGGGTTTGTCCTGCCATTGTCATGGTCACGATCTTAAACAAAACGAGGAGGGAAAACTAAGGTTCTTGAACTATGGAACGGAAAGATCCTTTCAAAAAAATTCAGATAGCACTGCTCTGTGTGTCTCTCTCTTCAGCAGAACTTCCACTGAGTACAGAGGAGCAGTTGCGACGGTTGCAGGAGGAGAGGATGTGCAAAGTGTGCATGGACAAAGATGTGTCCGTTGTCTTTGTTCCTTGTGGCCACTTGGTGGTGTGTGTGGAGTGTGCCCCCAGCCTGAGACGGTGCCCCATCTGCAGAGCGGTCATCCGGGGAAGTGTGAGGACTTTCATGTCCTGAACCATGAGGTGAGTAAGTGGGAACATGGGGGAGGACAGGCACTGGGTGGGTTTTATAGATGCATTTTGTTCAAATACCTTGTGTATAGTTCAGCTGGATTGCAAAGGTCTTGCTTGTGCTTTGTAAAAGCAATGTAGTTGGTCTGAATTTAGACATCTACTTTGTGCCCCAGCTAACAACCACACTTCCTTCGAGACTTGCCACTGAGCTGTAGCCCTCTGATCTTGCAGGAGAACCTGAGCTTCAAAAGGGGATGGAGGAGAGTGTCTGTCTGTCTCTTCTGTCTCCTCTAAACTTGGAAGGCTTTTATTTTTTGGAAAGGGGAAATTCTCCTGCTTCATCGCTGTTAACAAGGATGGGAATCCCTGCTTTGTGAAAAGAGCACTGGATTCCCTCAACAATCTGAGGCCTTGCATTTTTTCCACTGAGTAGCTGTGTTTGGGGATTGGAAAGCTGGCTATAAACACTGTTCTGGCATAAATCCTACAAAGCTACAAAGAATCTAATCTTTGTTCAGAACTTGATTTGTCATATAACTTGTCTCAGATGTATCTAGCAGCAGTGATGCTATAAATAAGCTCAGGGCTCCACTGAAGAAGCACCGTTCTATTCAGAACATGTCTTCATCAACTGCACAGAGAAAGGGGAAGGATTAGAGAAGTTAAATTGTGTAAATGAGGAGTTCCTCACAGAACTTGAATTCTGTGACAACTCCTTCTGTCTTTGCAGAATCTCCAGTCTCTGACCTCCACTGAGGGCAGCCCCTTTTCCAACGCAGAAGGTGCTGCACGAGGATATCTCACTAGAAATGATGTCACTAGCAGTCTGGGTTACTGAACAACCTCCCAGAAGTGTCCTGCAGAGCTTCTTCCATGCCTGTCAGGAAACATCCTTTTGCTGGAAGATGACCATGGAAAAGTTCATTCCTAAATTTTTCCATTTACAGGATGAGTGGTAACTTCTTTTAGTTTAAAATCTGATGATTCTTGTCTGGAATTGTGATTTTATTTTTTAAGATATTGTTAGATCTTGGAGCAGATAAAGGAAAGTTTGCCTGCAGAGTAATTTATTCATGGGTTTGAAAAAATGATTTGCTAAGTCTGTAGATTTATACTTCACATTTTGGAATAAAAGCATCTTCTGTTACCTTTTTTGATTGGTCTCTCATGTAGTCTGGCCTATAAAATGCTTTAGTACAACATTCCATCAAGGCTGGGATCTGAGGGCTTGCCTGCTGCATCAGATTGTAGGGTTACTTAGTCTGCTAGACCATATCCTCCAATACCAGATTGTTGTGGGGGAATGGAGTGGTGTCCCTAGCTACCTTTCAGAGTAGCTCCCAAAACAGAGCTCTTCCCCTGTCTGGGGCATTAACCAGCCTCCAGCAAAACATCCTGCCTCTTCTAAGGTGTAAGCAGGACCACACTACTTTGTATCACTGAAGTCAAGCCTTTCTCTTCCTTTTATGTATATCAGCTGAGACTGAGAACTTCTCCCCAGTCACTGAAAGCCTGTCTGGTTCCATGCTCCTACACACCTAACAGGACTAGGTGACCCCAGTTAAGCTGTCTGGAGCCTTCCCAGAGCCCAGATGGAGGACATGCTCCATCACGCTCCTCCTGCAGAGGAAGGGGATATTATTCCACATAGTGCTATGTAGAGGCAAGAGGAATTGATATTTGAATAGCTAAAACCTTTCCCTGGAAGCTAATCAGTGGAGATGGGTGGAGTGTTTATAGATTTCTGCACTACCATAGAACAGAAGTGAACTTTTTGTACTTACAAGGTTGTTTGCATCCATTACAAACCCATAATGGCTCTAATACTCATTCATAATTAATCTGGGGGTTGTTCCTAGTTTTAATAGTTGTATTAATCTGAAAAGGAATATTTAAACCTCAAAACAGACTTAAAAGGCTGTTCAAGAGTAAGAACCAGCTTCAATTCAGAACTTGGCTCACTTTATTGTATTAGCAGGAGGATCACAGTGGTTTTAATGATGGGTATAATCAGGATACAAACTGAGATCCTGAAAGAAATCTTACTTGTAAAGTTAATCCAGTGTGGGCCATTTCTTTCAGCTGTGAAAAGCTACTACCTGGATTCATGCATTGTTCACACTGGTGTATGTCCCTTTACAACACCATGCAAAACATATAATTTTAGTCTGTTAAATTATGCTTTTAGCCAGCAGAGGGCACCATTAACCTGACTATAACAGGGACCATAGGCTTGAAACCTTCAACTGCTCTTCATTCCAATAACACACCAGACATCAATGAAATATAGTTTCTTGTGTTAGCAAGACAGAGTATTGCATGGGCATACAATGATTCGAATTAGTGCACCCGAAACTGGAAGTGATTTTGTGCTAATGATAGAAATCGATGGAAGAAAAAGGAGGTTATAAGGTGTAAAATTAAGTCCCTAGTAGCTTGTCCTGACCTATCTCCGGAGCATCTGCCCCATTTCAGCTCCCTTTGTTCATAGAACCTGATCTTGCACTGAGTGGGATGAGGAAGGTCCTCCAGGCCATCCTTAATTCCAGGGCCACTATTGCCATGGATTTAAAAGGTGGCACCTACTCAGTCTAGTATTTAGCTATCCAGTAGAATTTAAAGTTAGGTCTACACAGCAGCTGGGAGGGAGCAGCCCAGCCCAGGTCGAGGGACTCGCCCTAGTAGGGCTCAAGCTCTATTGCAAAACGTAGCAGTGCGGGCATTCCAGCTCCATCAGATAGGCAGCCTAGCCCCTCGAGGTCAGATGTAGGGGGGCAGGCAGGCTGAAGAGCCTGAGCTGCCACCTGAGCCACAACATCCACACTGCTACTTTTAGGGTTGCAACGCAAGTCTGTCTTCCTGGCATGGGACATTGCCTGCCAGCTGCAGTGTAGAGACACCCTAGGTGGGGGTTAGCAGAGACTCACTGTACGCTGTTAGCACTCATCCTCCTATCCACACCACACCTGCAGCATGCTTGCTTTGCAGGTCCACCCTAACTCTATCTTCTTTCATGGACATTAACAGGGAACACTCTAATTCAGTGAAATAGAAACGAGGAACTCTCCCTTGTGCCAAATGTGGCTTCACTTGTTTAACGGCTCTTGACACTCATTTTTCCTCTTTTGTACAAAAAAGCAGATTGTCTTGCTGAACTGATCTAAAATAATGAGCAATATAATTGCACTTGGGTCTATAATAGTGAGACAAGCTGATGGCTCAGGTTGTGACCACAGTAGTAGAGGACTACTTTGCTCCACAGTAGGGTTCCTTCTCAGGCCTTGATCCTTACACAGTTAGGAGAGGCAACTGCTTTAAAAAACAAACAAAAAACCTGTTCCAGTAGACGGTTATTGTATTTATTTTTAATTACTGTGGCCAATGATGCAATTTAATTACAGTGATGTGTATCCCCTCTATCTTTCTCCCACCCCCTTAAAATAAAATTCTTCTTCTCCACAAATTCCCACATGGACCTATTGGCTCAGACCGCTCCTGGAGTAAATCTGACTGCCTTGTGGGTCTGTACGAGAGGTCTCTAATGCATGAAGAATTTGGCCTTTGCCTCTGCCTACAGCAGGAGCAGCAGTGTAAGTTTAGTGTACACAGACACAGTTGCTGTAAACTACAATGTGCACTGGTGTGGCTCACCTAGGCTTGAAATTGGGCTAAGATGTACCAGGAGCAAATCATGGCTTTGTTCGTCTACAATTAGGACTTTTTCACCAACATAGCTGCCCTGGTGGCTGAAATTGGGCCACCCACACTTCCCATGTGGACAAATCCTTCGGTTATAAAGAGTGGTGAATTCTCAGTAAATGCAAATAGCCTCCTCCCTGTCCCCCAGAGGTAGGGAGGGATGAGATTGTGTTGGGGGCTTTGTCCATTTAAAAAAAAAAAAAAAAAAGTAAACTACAAAACTGTTGAAGCCTGAACCACCGGGATTGGCAGGACTTTATTCTTTATAGATCCATGGTGGAAGGAAGAAGTTCCCAGCTGTTCAACTCTGATGCTCAAGAGATAGTGAAGGGTTCCCCTTGGATGTGTTCATCTCAGCCAAGCCTGTCCCATCCATGGACTAACAGTTCATCAGGACACTCACAAACTGAAAACAAACCTAGAGGTCATTCATCAATGTACATTCATTGTGTAAAAAAACTGACATGGAATGGATTTCATTATCCTAGCTTTTCTTCTGCCACAGATCCAGACCAAGGATGGCTTCATTTCTTGCAGCGCCTTTGTTTGCTGGGTGCAAGAGGTTTATCAAGCTTGTGGATCTTCCTCACTTATGCAGGCCTGTGGGGGAGGGGGAAATCTATCAACTCAGAAGGCAAAGGTGAAATTTTCTGCATACGACAGTTTAAACAGTATTGAATCAGTAAGCACAAAAGAACTTTTGTTCTCCAGTAGTGCACCCCATATACATATGCGTTCTGCAGGACAGTTGAATGTACACTGGATGGTCTATCTATGGAACTTGCAAGCTTTGAAAATCAACTATCTCCACCACTAGGGCCAGATTTTAAGAAATACTTAGACACGTAGAGAGGCACCTAACTCCTATTGTGGGGCATTAGGCTCCTAGGCACTTTTAAAAATCCCACTCCATGCCTCTGTGCATCTTCAGGTGCCTAAATACCTTGGAAAATCTGGCCCTAGGACTTTGCATGCTCTGCTGGCAAAGCTGGAGGAATGTGAAACTTGTATTATTGCTTCCGGAGCTAGGCTCTTACAAGCTCACCTGACTATTTAATGTCATGAAATGCCCCACAATTGTGAAATGTTAAGGCTACACTGAAACAGCAAGGAAAAAAATGTGTGTGTATATATATGAGGTAGAAAATGCAATAATTAAGCCAGATGAAACCTCTGCAATTAAACTCACTGCAGAGGCAACAACCAGCAGCTGTGGTACAATGATTTAAAAAAAAACATCAATTCAACAATTCCTAACTTGATTTTTTTGAATGCTTCAAACCAGAGCTGAATATGATTGCACTCTCCCTAGATTCCAGTATGGGAAAGGGAGCTAGTCCTCTAAGAGCTGCTCACCTGATATATCCAAACCTTATATGCACTTAAATTAAAGATAGGCCTGAACCAAAGTGGCGGATCCAAATACTCCTGGCAGCACTTGTATATTTTGGGTTTTTTTTAGAAGCTGGAGCTGAGTTTGCACCTTGGGCCTATCTCTAATATAAAATGGCCTCTGAGGTTGTGAGGACTGCCTTTTTTGTGTAGCTGTGATAAGGCAGAACTGCTCGTGTGTCTATCAGGTAGCAGGTGACCTAGTACAGTGCTGCTTTAACCCAGGGAGTACACCTGCATGTTATGGGTTCTATTCCCATTAGCCATTCCTCAAATGCTACATATGGGCAGCTGCCTGTGGGGTCAGTGTTGGTGTTGCCGTGCTCAATATTAGAGAACTGTCTGAAGCACAGTGGGATTGGTCAGTGGTTACCCAGTGGGACCCAGAGATGGGTGGAGTACTCCTGTTCCTCCAGCTGTTAAAGGACAGGCTGCCTCGCTCTCAGGCAACCAGCTGCTGCCTAACAGCCACACTTACACAGCAGGGACTGCTCCACTGTGTTAGATATGAAGACGGTAACTTTTAGCAACAAAACAGGTGACACATATAGAAAAATAATGTATTTAGTTTTTTTTATGCTTCAGTAACTGTCAGTAAAACTGGGCTAGATACTCACAACTGAAACCCAAAAGCTGGTGGAAATGTGCAGTTGTAATAGAACCAGACCAAGTTTGTAGATAGATTCTCCAGCACTTGTGAACCTCTTGTGGAAACCCAGGCCCAGTTCCAGGCCCCTGTGGGAGCAGTTTCCAATGTGAAATAAATTTGAGACAGTTTTGATCTAAAATGAGGTGCTCAATGGCAGTTCCACTTTGAGATCTTTTCACAAACTCAAAGGATAAGGATGGTCTCTCTTGAACAAACAAAAATGGACTGGCTCTGACACAACAGGGTTGAAGTGATGGCAATGGGTCATGATGGGTCTAACATCATCACAAGAGCACTCCACGTGCTCCACCTGGCAAGAACTGTTTCAGGTTAAAGACCTTGTTGACGAGTAGTTTTAAGTACTGTAAAATGGCCCTGAGCCGGCACTCAGCATGGAGCAGCCTCTCCACAT